AAAAACCACCATTTGAAATACCCTAGGGTGTCTACTTTCCAAAAATATATGGTTTGGTGTGGGTAAAATGCATTGGCCGGCCTTACAAATGTCCCAAATAGGACATGTGCGCAGGTTGACTACATGTCAAAATTCCAAGTTGAAAAATGGATATGCGCACCTGCCAAATGTGGCCTTTTAGCCCCCAAACAATCCGACAAACCTATGCATGGGTGGTATCACTGTACTCAGGAGATGTTGCTGAACACATATTGGCATGTTGTTTGGCAGTGACACATAACACGATTAACACGATTTGTTAATTCATGCCTAAAGTACAATGTGTGTGAAAAAAAACACACAAAAAATGACTACCTAAATGTTTGACAAAGTCTGGTGGTAGAATTAGTGCATGGAAAGTATTAAAAAAACACCATTTGAAATACCCTAGGGTGTCTACTTTCCAAAAAAATATGGTTTGGTGGGGGTAAAATACATTGGCCCGCCTTACAAATGTCCCAAATAGGACATGTGCGCATGTTGACTACATGTCAAAATTCCAAGTTGAAAAATGGATATGCGCACCTGCCAAATGTGGCCTTTTAGCCCCCAAACAATCCGACAAGCCTATGCATGGGTGGTATCACTGTACTCAGGAGATGTTGCTGAACACATATTGGCGCGTTGTTTGGCAGTGACACATAACACGATTTGTTAATTCATGCCTAAAGTACAATGTGTGTGAAAAAAAACACACAAAAAATGACTACCTAAATGTTTGACAAAGTCTGGTGGTAGAATTAGTGCATGGAAAGTGTTAAAAACCACCATTTGAAATACCCTAGGGTGTCTACTTTCCAAAAATATATGGTTTGGTGGGGGTAAAATACATTGGCCGGCCTTCCAAATGTCCCAAATAGGACATGTGCGCAGGTTGACTACATGTCAAAATTCCAAGTTGAAAAATGGATATGCTCACCTGTCAAATGTGGCCTTTTAGCCCCCAAACAATCCGACAAGCCTATGCATGGGTGGTATCACTGTACTCGGGAGATATTGCTGAACATATATTAGTGTGTTTTTTGGCAGCAGGATCTGTAAGTTTATACCTGAATTGCAATGTATGTGAAAAAAAACAAAAAAACAACTACCTATGCAAAGTTTGGCAAAGACTTGTGGTAAAATGGCTGCATAGAAAGTGTCAAAATATCCTTAGATGAATACCCTGGGTTGTCTACTTTAAAAAAAATATATACATGTGAAGTGTTTTCCAGAGATTTATGACAGATAATAGTGTTACAATGTCATTATTGATACATTTTAAAAATGTTTGTTTTGAAACCGCCATATCCTGCTTGTACCTATAGCCCTATAACTTGCAAAAAAAAGCAAAAAAGCACGTAAACACTGGGTATTTTTAAACTCAGGACAAAATTTTGAATCTATTTAGCTGTTTTTTTCATTCGCTTTTGTAGATGAGTAAAAGATTTTTCAAGTAAAAGTCAAAAAATTTTTATTTTTTCAATTTTTCATCATTTGTTTTTAATTTTTTTTAAATTAAAATACATGAGATTATATAAATAATGGTATGTAAAGAAAGCCCCTTTTGTCCTGAAAAAAACAATATATAATTTGTATGGGAACAGTAAATGAGAGAGCGGAAAATTACAGCTGAACACAAACACCAGAAAAGTGTAAAAAGAGGCCTGGTCGCAAATGTACAACATCGCAAAAACAGTCCAGTCCTTAAGGGGTTAATCTGGGCTACCTGCCCGGTATTTATGCAGGTCTCCCACCAGGTGGACACTCCCCTAGGGGACCTGGTGGAAGACTGGGACAAAATAGCAAGGTGACCAATCACGGACACACACAGTTAAGCCCTCCTACAGGAACATTACAATCCCTCCTCTCTATCCTGGGAAGTAATCTCCAAGGATAGAGGCAAAATCTCCAATGAACACATGTTAACAAAAAGACATAAAAATATACAATGTTACCAATACTGTATAAAACATATCCATTCAACATATCCCCAGATAGCTTAGATCTGAGCGCACATTATTACCGAATAGTGCTCAGATCACATACATATAGTTCAATCGCCATGGAGCCAAAGTCTTTCCCATAGTCTTTCTGTGGTGAAACCAACCTCGCCACTGGGCATTGAAGAAGCCTGTTTGCCCACCTCCTGCCTGCTGACTATGGCCCTGGGAGATTTGGTCCTTTAAATACAGTATTTGCGCATATTGTATTTTATTATGCTGCTGCTGGCCCTTTAAGAACCATCTGGGGACATACTGTGTAGTTACTGGGTGGCCACCATTTCATGTATCAGAGGCACATGGTGAGAACAATGGATGAAGCACATGGTGAGAACAATGGATGGCGGCCATTTTAACTCACAGACACTGTTTGGACTTTTCTACATGGTGCCATCTCGCCAGTATTTGGTGCACGAAGACATCGTTCAGTAGTTTTAAACTATACAACAGGGGACACATTATACAGTAATTATTTTTCATATAGCCTGTATATATTCTACGGAATCTGCATGAAACTGCATCTTCCAAACTACTGAACGGATCTGGGTGAATTTTGGATATGTGGTTCACCCAGAGCCCCCGGTTCCGAGGATATACTTTTATGGGATATATTTTTATGGGGTTATTGCATGTTTTGGGGTCCCTGTGATATGTTTTATAATACTGTATTTCTCTGCCTGTGATAATTAGATTAGCCATTGTGTTCAGTAATCATATGACAGGCAGAGGGGAGGATCTTGTATGGGAGTGTCTGTGTGTATTGTACGGATTGATTGGTTGTATTTCAAAACCCTGTGGGCAGTACTATGTTTGTGGATTGTGAATAAAAGAGGCTGTATGTACCAGTACAGCCAGTTCTGCTTGACCTCAAAATGAAGTGTCATCTCGTTATTGTGGGAATTGGATTGTATGCTGATTGCCAGGAGTGTAAGCTGATTGTATGTTTTTCCTGTTCAGCTGCTTACAGCATTCGTATGCTTCTCCGGTTTGGTGGTTGTGGTGTCTGCTGCAGTGCTTGGAGTCCTCAGGAAGCGCTAGGAGCATCCTTCAACGGAGGTACCCAGTCGGGGTGCCAGGTGATCCGTTACACTTTCGTTATACGAATGGGCTCCATGGCATAGCTGTCTGTGGTAGTACTGTTCACACAGGGAAAGTACTGAATCAACCGGCGTTTGTGTAATTGCAGGAGAAGGGAGGTCGGCAGCTCAGCGGTGTTCGTGAATATAACTGTCCGTTTTCAGTTCCATGGTGTTGTAGCTGAACACCGCTGGCTGTTCGGCAGTTTAAGATGGCCGCTGCCACGTGTTCGGCTATACGAACAACGGCCACCCAGCGTTCGCCAATTAAGCTGCGGTTAACCACAGCTTCTGGGAGGTCAATTACTGGCACACTTTATACCCAGGTGGTCCGGTCATTCGTCTGTTTGTTCGGTAGATTCAATCTACCGAACGCCCGGACAGAAAGGCACGAACAAGCCTTTCTGCAGGGAGAAATAAAGGTTTTCAACACGGGGCCATAGTCCAGAGGTAGCAGGCGAGCAACCAGGCTTCTCCAGTTCGCAGTGGCGAGGTTGGTTTTGCCACATCTCTCCTGTGACGAGACCAAACTCGCCACTGTGCATTGGAGGAGCCTGGTTGCCTGCCTGCTGCCCTTTGACTATGGACCGGCATTTAAATACTTTATTTTCCTATGCAGAAAGGTCTATTCATGTATTTCTGCTCTGGCGATCGGTAGATTCTCGGATTTACTGAATGAACTCATTTAACCGAGATAGCTATGCCATGGAGCCTATTCGTGTTATAAAAGACTTTGGCTCCATGGCAATTGAACTGTATGTGTGTGGTCTACGCTCAGACCTAAGCTATCTGGGGATATGTTGCAGGTCTGTATTTTATGTAATAAATGTAACCTTGTGTATTTTATTGTATTTTACTGTCTTTTTACTGCCATGTGCTCAATGGAGTTTTGCCTCTGTCCTTGGAGATAATTGGATTACTTCCCAATTATCTCCAGAATAGAAGACTCTGTGGACTTCCCCCTCTCCCTGAAATTCACACTGCCGCTGGGGACGGAGGACGCTGCTCTCCTCTCCCTGCAATTCACACTGCCGCTGGGGAAAGGGGACGAGGCTCTCTATTCCTTGCAATTCACACTGCCGCTGGGGAAAGGAGACGAGGCTCTCTATTCCCTGCAATTCACACTGCCGCTGGGGAAAGGAGACGAAGCTCTCTATTCCCTGTAATTCACAGTGCCACTGGGGAAAGGAGACAAGGCTCTCTATTCCCTACAATTCACACTGCTGCTGGGAAAAGGAGACGAGACTCACTCCCTGTAACTCACCCTGCCGCTGGGGAGGGAGGATGCTGCTCTCCTCTACCTGTTGGGCCAGTGGAGAGACCTCAGTCCCATCTCTACTTGCCGGCTGGAGGTCCTTCCAGTAAACCTCAATGACATCCTCCAACCTGAAGGGCTCTGGACTTGGGTCTGCCAAGATGCTCTCCCACTGGGTATCCTCGATGGAGCGGAACAGGTGTTTGTAATCCTACTCCAGTTCCCACTCCAGGTGTACCAAGTCAGGTCCCACTTCGTGGGGGTCATACCAGTCTTGCATACCCTCCCTCCAGTTCAAAAATATCCGGGAACTGGGTCTCCTCAGGGCTCCCAAAGTCAGTTTCTGTGAAAGCCTCCCACAGCAAGCCAGGGCCATTAAACTCTTCTCCCTCCGGGTTATCATGCTCCACTGTCCAGGTATACCGAACCGTATACCACCAGTGTGCCTGGTAGGCATCCTCTAGCCACAGCTCCTGCCATACCCAGTGCTCAAGCTTCTTTACCCATTGCTCCAGGGGCTGCTCTCCCAGGAAGGGCATTTGCAGTGCCAGTCACGTCTGCAATCGCTGCTCTTCACTGGGGAGTCCCTCGCCCCACTGATGCTGTACCCAATCCAGTGCCTGGTACCAGATGCCTTTCCTTATTGCATCCTGGCCATCCAGGTCCTCCTCCTCATATGGAACTGCTGTTTGGGTCCAGCCTGGTTCCATTATGCTTTGATCAGGGTCGTTGTACTGAGACATGCGTTGCCCTTAATTTATAATTACAAGAAATGGTGTTGTCTTGTAGCTGTCCTTCTGGGCTGTGGGAACCATCCCGTTTCTTGCCACCAATTGTAACGGCACCCCGGGCATAAAAGGGGTTAAAACCATTTAGGAGATATTCCCCTTACAGCTATAAAGGCAGCTACCAAAGACACCAATCCGCCAAACATGAAGAACCATACGAATACTCCAAAGCAGACAAATGCTCCAAACAGCCGGAAATGAAAAACCATACGAAAGGTTTACACCAGCAGTCGAACAGCAAGATATACGAATGAACCCCCCCCAAGTACGAGACGAGGCTCTGTATTGAGGGTCATATACTCAAAAAAGAAAGCAATGCACACCAACTAACACAATAGTATATATCTAAATATATTTTATTATAATACAAATCCAAATCTTACATATAAAATGTAACAGTGACCAAATAGGCAAAAAAGTTAAACAGTATATTTACCAAATTCCACAAGCCTATAAGGGCAGAAACACGAGTCACAAACAATCCCCCAACGTTTCGGCTCCTCCTGGTAGCCTTTATCAAGGGTAGCTATATCACAACATCATCCAAGAAACTATTATATACACATAAACAAACTACTTACAGCTGATGGCCATCAGTGATGTCACAGAGAGCCGTGACCGGAAGTGACATCATCACTTCGGATCATAGCCCTATATGTAAAGCACAATAGCAATAAATACATTATACATTCACAATATTGTTCCCAGACCAATTCTATCATTGGTATAAAGATCTGCTGTTTATTATATACTCCATAGTTATCCTCGTGAACCTAAATGTGAACGCGCATGCGCAATGCAAATATAAATATAGGCGGTCGCCATACCATCTCCTGGCATCTATCTATTGGCACACTCCATACTCCCCAGCGAGGAAACACATCCCCCAGCAGGCAACCCGACAAGCACACTAGACATGACAACAACATGTGTGCAATAACTTGACAAAAAAAGGCAAAAGCGCACTCATCTTGCCACAACCGGCTGATCTCTCTCCAGCTCCCCTCTAACGGAAGCCTCCGTGGTCCACACCTAACAGAAAATCACTTCAAACAAAGGGCTAACCCGACCGCGCATGCGCTTCCCCAAAAATAGAGAACGATACCTACAACATGATAGCGCACCAACCAAATCTTAAAGGGAAATAGCATAAATGCATAAATCACTAATAATATGTCATAATATGCATATAAATAGTCCCATAGTATAGCGAAAATTCATAAAAAATAAGTAAATGTTAACAGTGAAAATCACCTCCACCATAATAGCAAAACACCAAAAAATGTGTACTATACTAAACTAATGCTTATTCATCTATATCATATATACAAAACATACATTCAGCAACCTGCTGAACGATCAGGTCATTCCGAAAAAAAGGGAAACTCAATACTAGAAAATCCATCCATCATGTAAAGTAGACAATTATATATGTTTCTTTACTCAAGCCTTATATATGTGATCCTTATATCAATATCAGTACACCCTATTAGTTATACAGCTTTTTAGTAACATTTATATAAAGCTTCTTCTTAAATGATAACAGGTATTCATTCACAAACATATACAAATCAAAATCAATCAAAGATATGGAGGTATCCAATAGATCAAATCTTCGTCGTCCAATCGTAGATCCAATAAATGAGTCCAAATCCAGATTATATCCATCCACCTTGTTGGACGTACCAATGGGACCCAATATCCACAAAAAAAATTGCACTCCATCCTTGATCTAGTACACACTATCAACCGGGTACCCATTGTATTAAGTATCCAAATGGAAATCCATACGCAATCTAGACAAAATAAACATCAATTAAAAACAATATCAATGATACAAACACTACTCAGGCAGGGTGGATAAGTCAGCTTCTCCAAACGAGGCTACAATAAAGGAGAGAGATCCCGTTCTTCATTCAGACCCTTAGGGAATAGAACCTGCAATTCATAAATCCAAAATAATTCACGCTGCTTCAACAACATTTCCCTAGATCCACCTCTTCTCAGAGGTTTCACTACCTCTAGAATCGAGTATCTTAATTGTGACACCATATGTCGCATCTCCACAAAATGTCTAGCCACTGGATATTGAATCTTTCCAGTCCGAATGCTACTCTTATGTTCCCCTATCCTAATGGTGAATTTCCTCCTGGTCTCCCCAACATAGGCTAAGCCACAAGGGCATTTTAACATGTAGACTACAAATTCTGATTGACAATTGCAAAAATCCCGAATAGGATATTTCTTCCCAGATCTAGGATGGAGAAAGGAATCGCCCAGAATTACCCCATTACAATTCACACAATGTCCACATTTGTACATACCAACAGGCATTCTAAGCCACGATTCCTTAATCCCCATCTTTCCTTGGACTTCCACATTCCGCATTAAATGATCACGAAGATTTCTGTGCCTCTTGAAAGAAAACAAAGGTTTCTCATTAAAACAAATCCTAACTTTGGGATCCGATTGTAATATATTCCAGTGCTGGTGCACAATATGTTTAATCTCCTTCGAATGTTCAGAATAGGTGGTAACACATGGGATCCTCATGTTCCTATCCCTAACTCTTTTAGTTAGAAGTTGTTCCCTTGCCAACAATCTAGCCTGATCCTTGCATTCCATCAAAATCTTCTTCTCATATCCCCTTAAGGTAAATGCCTGCACTAATTCATCTGCCCGTCTATCATAATCTGTGTCCCGTGATGTAATTCGTCGGGTTCTAATATATTGTCCATATGGTAATTTTTGCAAAAATTGTGGTGGATGGAAGCTATCAGCATGTAAGTATGACACACGGTCAGTAGGCTTCTGATAGAGATCAAAGCTCAATTGTCCTTCACTTACCTCCATAGATACATCCAAAAAGTGCATTTGATGCCTATTATATTCTATAGTGAAAGATATCGTGTCCAGTTTATTATCCAATCTTTCCTTAAAGCAGAGCAACTCATCAACCGTACCTGTCCA